TTAATATATTTTTCATTAAAAATTCTAATATAAAATTTCTAATTATATATAGAATTTTTGTTTTTGTTTTTTTATTTTTGTTAGCGTATACTAACGTCCCACCCACCTATACCCTTACCTTATATAAATGCATATGTTTAAAAGGAATAATTGTAGTTTGAGAAGGTTAAATTTCTCGAATTAGTATTAAACTTTCTACTTATAGATGCAAAAATAGCCAGAAATATTTTATAATTAATAGACTATTTATTATTAAGGAATTTAGTCTCATCTTAGAGTCGAACTAAGATACAGATATTAGAAGTATCATGCTCTGCCATTGAGCTAATGAGACTTGAAATACCCCTATTTATAATAATTGTAGTATAAAAAAGGGATATTTCGATTAAAGAAAAACTTATCTTTATAAATTATTTATTATTCTAGTTATAATATTTAACTTTGTAGAGGTAAACTCACAAATGCGTGAGGTTTAGGTGGACTTGATAATCCTCACTCTAAACTACTATAACTTCTATTTAAATTAGCTTGTAATATATCTGTGTAGAATCCAGGAGTTAATCAAGGATTTCTGCTTGCTACTTTACCGTCTACTAATTGTCTGTAAACGATATATAAGAATAATCAAGCGGCTACTACACTTATTATAGATCCAAAACTACTAATTAAATTTCATCCTGCATAAGCATCAGGATAATCACCTATTCTTCTAGGCATACCTTGTAACCCTAAGAAATGTTGCGTTCAGTGCATACGCACCGTAAAAAGTTTATAATTTATCTTTGTAGCTATATATTTTACCGTTATGAGAATTTCCATTTTGTAGCGAAGCGTCTCAACTTTTTAATACATAAAAATTTATTTTAGCGTATTTCTGCGCAAGCTATCTTTTGATACACCATTAAATTTTTCTAGTAATTCATAAGTATTACTATAAAATACATAAATTGTTTTTATTTTCCCCTATGGGGACCGGAAACGTCTCTAGATATTAGTAAAAAGTCCTGATAAATAGAGAAAAATTAGTGCCTATTTTTGTTCATATCTTTTATGATGATTCGGATTTGATATAATCCTTTTTCAGTTAAATGTAGCTTATCTTTTATTATACCTGCTACTTTACATCAATCATTAAAATCTTTTAATTTTTCACTAGCTGGCTGGCTTTCCTTCGGAGAAACACGCATGCATGCAACAAAAAAGGTATAATTATTTCCATTATGTATGATAATTTAAGCACTTGGAAATCTCCATACTCTGCTCTTCGAGATGAATAATATCTACCACATCCCAAATAACCCTATAAACTTTTCATTAGTTGCTCATCTCTAGAGTGCTGAGTTAATTGAAATATTAATTTTACTTGTATTCCTGTTTTAATAGTAGAACTTTTAAGCAATTTAACTCCAAAGTAACCCTCTGCACTCGTTAAACCCGCTACCCATTGAGGATGAAGATTATTATTAAAAATACACTGAGGTTTCACCACAGGCGTACACAAAGGAAAAGATGTCTTTAAAATTTCAGCAGCGGAGCAGGTGCCCGCTGCGCTTAGCATAAACCCAAATTCATTGAGGCCCTAATTGCTACTAATCTATTTAATCCTTCCTCAGTTAAATGCTCTTTTTTTACTCATAAGCATAACTGCGTCTGAAAATAATTCAAAGTCTGCACTTTTTTTAGTATTTAAGGGATATTTCTTTTGTTTTTACCCTTAAAGGGCGAAGCTAAGCGGAGCGTCTGAGGTATTATAGTGGTAATTAATTGTTCTAAGTTATTAACACGATACGATATTTTATCCTCACCATATT